GTGCGTGGGTGAGACCAGACAACCCCCCCCCCCTGGCCTTCCACTCGTTTTGCACAAGAGGACTTTAAGTTTGAGACTGAGTTTATTGTTGTGATTGTCGCACGGACGATGGTCCCGTTCGGCCAGCTGCCCGGCCATTTTCAAAGGGGGGATCCGTGGTGCGTGACCACAGTGACAACAAATTCAAGGCAAGAAAACAAAAGCCGGCAGTGTTTACCCAATTAAGGCGCTTTCATATTTAACAATGACATTTTACAGGAAAAGGAGGCTGCTAAAATAATAATATTATGATAATCATCGCTTATCTAGCCAGGAAAGCCACACTGCATTCAGGAGGGTCCTGCATCGGGATGTTAGACCAACACCGATCGGCATGCATATGGTGTTTAGCTACGAGAAGAAACTGGAGAACACGGCGAAAACCCATGTCCAACAGGCGGAGAGACACACGTGTTACCACTGCCGTCACAATAACCACAACAGATGTGTGGATGTGAAAAACAAAAAAAGTCGTAACGCAGAGAGAGCATCAGCGACTCCTTTCGCGATGAACAATTACAGCGCCCACAATGGGACCGTATCCTCACCGCCTCCAGCACTTGTCCACTGCACCTGTGTGTGTGTGTGCGCGCCCCTGTGTACAAACAACGCTGCTCTAAGTCTCACGAGTGGGAACGCTGCTGGCTGCTGGGCAAACAACCTCATCTTGCTGAAGCGAGCCACGGGGAAGGGTGAAATGAAACGAGTCGGGAGGGGAAGAGGAAGCGCCGAAGCCAGCTCGGCAATCCCGAGCGTCGGCACAGCTGCGTCGCTCGAAAACAATAACTGCCTCGCAGGAAACGCACAATGCGCAGCATTCAAATTAAAAGACGCTACACTAACATACAACAGAGGCGAGGAGAGAGAGAGAGATCGGCAGATCAAGTGGCACCCAGAGGTCGGCGAACAAGACATCTCGCCTGGTATGGAGGAGGGCGTGGGTTCCATCTCGACCCTTTTGCCTGCTGAATATTTAGAGTTTGCGTTTTCTTCCCGTGGTAGCGTAAAATGTTTCTCTGGGTCCTCAGATTTTCCTTCCACATTTAGAAATGCGCGTTTTACACAGCAGAGTTCTTCACTAATTTTCACAATGGGGGCCACTTTCGCCGATAAGACATCAGTGCGAGGGCCGCCACACGTTTGAAACCTTTGTCTTTGACAGCATGGTGGGGGTGTTTTCACATTTGACCATTGTCGCACGTCTGGGACCGCACTAAAGGCCACCAGGGACCTCCAATGGCCCACGGGCCTTGCAATGAAGAGCACTGTTATACATTATCTTGGCGCTATGGCAGCGAATCGGAGACATCCGTGCAGGATTGACCAACCTGGTTGGTTTGTGAAGGGAAACTCACTTCTGGGAGACTCGGTCAGGGTGGATCAATGGAACACGTGGACATCACCTCCAGAATATCCCTTCCTCTGCAATTGTTCATCCAATTCAATTATCCAAATTCGAGAACATTTTTCAGCAATTGGATATTTGGTCAATATTAGGTACATTGTATGTGTTTTTTTTGCTATGGGAGGAAACCGGAGAGCTCAGAGGAAACCGATGCAGGACCGAGGAGAAAATTTCCATGGGATAAGCCAGTTTACTGAGCTGTTATTTATGGCCAGGTCGCTTCTGAAAACGAGCTCAGTGGGCTTTACCTGGTAAAATAAAAAAATAGACTTAAAGCCTGATGGCGTGACACCGGAGGAAGATTTGAGGACCCGTGTCAACGGTGCAACAGCAGCTGACAGACCGCGCACAAGGAAGCAGGGGGTGGCGGTGTGGTCGCATTAATGGCCTTGATGACATCTTGACTCTCTCACAAGCGATAATTATTATTGTTGTTTAGTACGGGGGATTATTACACCGATACCACTCGGCTAATGCATTCGCGCACTGCGCTATGGACCCAGCCACCCAAGATGGATTCACAACTACGCCTAACAAAAGTGGCGAGTAACCGGTGCTGGGCTTCCCCTGAACCAGGCCGCACTGACCAGCATGGTGAAGTATGGTCAAGCAACCTCCGTTACTTGCACGGTGTGCCAACTCATCCAGCAGCGGATTGACAAAGGCTGAATCTTGTACTCTGCATCAGTGATATATACCGAACGCCCGTGTTGAGTGTACAAAGGACCTGGGCGCACCATCACAGGTGTTACGCAAGGCTCAGGCATTCACCGCAGCGGCGATCTCGATGCAAAAATCGACCCCAAGGCCGTGTGGTCCCACTCAGCCAACAGCATCACACGTGCACTCAACGCTCAGCCATTACAGACGAGAGAGATAGAGGTGGGGGGGGGGGTCATCTCCTCTCCAAGGATCATGCAATGTCCTCTTCCTGGGGAGACCCCCATCATGAACCCCACAACAAATGTCACCGGGGTCTGGCCTGAGAGACCCGGGGAACGAAAAAAACCCTTAAACCCCCACAATCTCAATGGTGTCAGGAACAGAGTGCCCCTGAAACGGCGTGACATCATTACCTCGTCGTGAATCACGATGGACGTAAAAATCTAATGACTGTGGTGCAGTGTGTGAGCGCGCGCGTGTGTGTGTGTGCGGTGTGTGTTGTGGTGCGCAGAGCGCGTCATTGACAGCGGGGATGGGGGGACGTGGTGGGGATGGGGGACGTGGTGGGGATGGGGGACGTGATGGGGATGGGTGACGTGGTGGGGATGGGGGACGTGGTGGGGATGGGGGACGTGGTGGGGATGGGGGACGTGGTGGGGATGGGGGACGTGGTGGGGATGGAGGCCGCCTGTGCCCATCAGCAGGCAGGCGCGTTAATTCACATCGCTGCTCGGAAATGACCGCGCGCGCGCACGCACCTCGCCGCCGCGGGAAGCGGTTAAACCCCCAATGGGTTACCGTACTAATGCCCTGAGCCACCGATACAAAGAGGGAGCCTCATGCTTACGATGCATTTACAATGTATTAATCACGCGACACCCGGCATGAACCCAGCCACCGCGCGACGCGCGCTGTGCCATTATGGAGCGGAGCGCGCATCCGCAGATAAAACAGCCACACTGCTCCATCAAATGACACCGACAAATCTGCACATGCATCACATTCCATGCTCATCCCTTCACGTCCCTATTTTGTTGCATATTTTCGATTGCATTAACAACCCTATACAACCATCTTATTATCACCATATGCCTGTACATCCATTACATCCCATGAACATCCCTGCACACCCATCCCATTACATATACAGCTCTCTACAATCCAGCTCATCCCATGCACATCCGTGTACATCCTTCTCATGACACACACATTTCTATACATCTATCCCATCATCACATCCCTGTACAAAGACAAGACAAAGACCCCCCGTGTAGCCTTGAAATAATGTTGGGGCAAGTGCTGTTAGCGAGCGCCTATGGAGGCCGGCTCGTCACACGAGGTGGGGGACCAGCACCACGCCCGACCGCTTTTGTCTCCCCAGTGGCGATGTTTTACACACCGCATCAAGTATTCAATTGAGGCCGAGCCGACCTAGGGGAGGCCGAGGACCGGTTCAGATAATCGTCACCGGTGTTGGTCGTGAGCGGGAATCGAACTGGGGTCACTGGGTTCGTAGCAGAGCGTAGCGCTAACCGCTACACGACTTCTCCCTGTACATCCACACCATCACATACATCAATGCCAATGCACGCACGTAACTATAAATCAACCCAATCGCAATAAAATCCATAAACAATCCTCACATCCTACACACATCCCGACACTCGTCGCATGGGATCCATGTCTGTGTTACACCAATCCCATGGCATGAAAACATTCCTTTACAACCAGGGCATCATCCCCGTGCATCAACTCCATACATCACATCCCTACTCTCCCATTCCTGCTCGCACCATCCCATCATCACGTCCCACCCCGACCGTGACTCGAGCTGTCTGGGCCACTGTCCAGCCATCACCGTGCACCACGCATTAATACACAACACAACTCATTAATACACAACACAACTCATCTATCCCAACCTTCCCAGTGGCACGCACTACACCCCCGCAGTACAATGCCAGAGGGAGCACTGGGGGATGGGGTAGGGCGGGATATGATCAGGTTTTATTCATCACAAGGAGGTAATCAACAGCTGGGGGGGGGAGGGGGAGTGTAATCACACACAGCCGGTCAACACAGGCCACACCACGGGCCAGGACGGGGCCTCGTTACCCGGGAGCAGAGCCAGGGGCAGGACCTGAACCATTCCCCAAACCCTCGGGACTCTCTCTGTGCCATACGAATCCGATTCGTCTCGATCGGATCCACTACCATATCCATCTCCTCAAGAATCCACCCGACTCCATCATGACCCGATATCTGATCCGACCCATCCAGGTCCTAAAGAAACAAGATCCCACTTGTCCCATACGGACCCGGACCCAGCAATTCCACGCAGACCAGATCAGACCTCACTCCAACTCTATTGCACCCAATCTCATGGAATCCGTACAGACCAGATCGGAGCTCACTTCAACTCTATTGGACTCGATCGGGAATATATTCCATACAGCCCAGATCAGAGCTCACTCCATCTCCACTGGATCCGATATCACACATTTCATACAGACCAGACTAGAGCTCACTCCATCTCCACTTGATCCGATATCACACATTTCATACAGACCAGACTAGAGCTCACTCCATCTCGACTGGATCCGATATCACATTCCATATATACCAGATAACAGCTCAGTGCATCTCCACTGGATCCGATATCACACATTCTATACAGATCAGATCAGAGCTCACTCCATCGCCACTGGATCCGATATCACAACATTCCATTCAGACCAGATCAGAGCTCACTGCATCTCCACTTGACCCGATATCACAACATTCCATTCAGACCAAATCAGAGCTCACGGATCCATCCCGACCGCACCGAACGCCGGCCGTGTTCACCAAAACCCCGTTCACGACCGCACCGCCCAAGCCGCGAGTCACTCGCCTGCCGACCGTCTGACTGGCCAGTTGTCGCATGCGGTTGAATTGCTTCTTCATGTTTCCCCGCCGCCCGTGGCCGAGGCCCTGAGAAGCGATGGTTCCTCCCGGGATGGAGCCGGGCTCAGAGCCCAGCCGCCGCGCCGTCAAACTGCCCGCGCTCGGCCCCGGACTCGAACCGGCATAATCCTCCGTCTCACGTCGTGGACGGGAGCGCGGGCTGCTTCCACGCGGCTGAAATCCGGTCCCCCCCCCCCCCCCCTCCTCTTCTCTTCACTGCCTCAACTCCTCCTCTTCGCAGTCCCCGCTCCTCCTCTTCCTCACCACCGCCTCTCAACACGCAGACAACTGCCTTTATCTCCTCTTCACAATAACCTCATCCTCGGTACAGCCTCCTCTCCTCCTCCACCTCCTTCTTCGCGGTCCTTGCACCAGACGCGCACAACCTCGACTACTGCTCCTCTGCCCGTGCTGCAGAGTGAGCGAGGAGGAGGAGGGAGTGGGGGAGGAGGGAGGCTTAGCTTCGCTTCCCTATGGCGGAGTGAGAGAGAGAGAGAGGGGGCATCACACAGCCACCTCTACTGCTGATGCTGTGTTTTGTGCGGTTACCACCCTCCCTGCTTCTCTATCTGCTGTAATCTCCGGGTTTTTTTTATTTCGAGTGTAAATCGTTTCGCTGCTCCTGTAGGTTAGCTCTGGCAGCTCATGAGGGTAACAGCCCTGTTTGTGTGTTTTTATTGTGATGATTTTTGTATGTTAACGTCGCTGCCGGCTTTCGGGAAGGGCAAACACGTTCAGAATGTATCTTCACCATTGTTTGTGGGGATTCAGTGATCCACCTTCATCTGAAGATTGTGAAATATGGCGACCTGGTTCGGGGGAAGCCCTTTATCTAGCAGTGGATTGACCGTGGCTGATGCTGCTGATGGTGGTAGCTGCATCGGCGTACGAGGAGGAGGAGCGAAGCGTGGGTGATGGATTGTGGCTCTCTGGCTCATACCCTGGGCTGGGTAGGGAAGTGCCCTTTTGTTTTCATTGCTCACATGGTGCCGTATTTATTTACGTCCTCGGCTACATCATATAACCTGGCTCACGAAGCACATATTTTTTTAACCACAAAAATATATAAATATCAGCTTTATCTGGAAAACATCGACCAACAACATCGTGCGCTCATCCAAAAGTGGTGAGTCACTAGCAGCTGTGAGCTCCCTCTCTCTCGTGTAATGCAGTGGTCAGTAGAATCACTACTACAACAAGAAACCTGCGGCTCTTAGCGGATATGGAGACGTGTACAGTATATAAAGAACTGACGCGTCAAGGGCTTTTTTCACGTTCGCGTATTTGTTATGGTTTTGTTTGATGTCACATACCGCCCCAACTCAACCCCTTGAGAGACATTTTACGAGCGTGACATGTTTGCATGACCTGACCTTAGCTTATTGTCTGCATATCGTAACGTGATGCTTTTGTAAAGTTACCAGTCGAAATTTAAGCCACCGTCGTCCGAGGTTCATGAATGCCACGTGCACGGCCGTTGTGAGAAGTCCGGACAAGAATAACTGGATTTGTGATTTCCCGCACAAAGGCATTTGTTTAATCCTGCAGTGAACATTTATATTAACCTGTCACTTGATGGAGACATGTGGTTATAACCTGAGACTGTGCTTTCTACAAGTGGGTCCAGCACTGGCCTTGATAGACCCCCCCCATCCCCACACACGACTTTAACCGTGGTAACTGGCAGTTATATTTAGGGCTACTCGTTGCTTTGACGCTGACCCCCAACCCGACAGGCAAACCCGGGCCAACACTAGGGCCGGTTGCCCTTACCTTGTGTTTTACTCCAGCATAACAGAGTTTTGCCCTGCTCTCGACGCAATGCGTTTACCTGGGTCATTGTTATACATTGGGTCATTCCCTAATCTGACCCGAGTGACGCAATGTTAACCCAATTTCATGGCTATGCACTATGAAATGAAAGGAAAGTAAAACTATTTTTTTTGTATTTTACCAGGTAAGACCCACTGAGCTATATATATATAACTTTTTCAGAAGCGACCTGGCCACAAATAATAACTCGACGAAGTGGAATAGGGCCGTCCATAAAGGACGTCACGCGATTTTGGACGATTTTGACCCCCCCCCACCTCGTCACACGACATCACAAAAAGTCAGACCCCCCCTCAAATATGACATCACAAAGCTCTGCCCCCCCCCAAAAAAATAAAACATGCTTCAAATCGCTTTAAACTATTGTCATTGTAGTGCGTATTTAATGTGGCGCTGTACTCTGATGTAGGAGAAAACATTTATTAAAAAGTCTATTTAATTAAGTAGAACGTGTTGTCTATATTTAAAGTTGCGCATTTTTACGTGACGTCACATTTCTAACCCCCCCCCCCCCCTCGTCACACATCGTTACAAATGTCTGACCCTCCCCCCAGGTGCATGACGTCATTTATGGACGGCCCCATATGGTGTGGAAACTTGAAGCGGCCAAATATTCTGAACGCACGTTGACTCTAAATGTGGAGGGGAAAACCGGAGGACCCGAATAAAAATCCACGCGACCACGGAAAGACCATGCCAACCCCAGATATACAAGCGTGAGAATCAGGATCGAACCCACACCCTCCTGTATACCTGGCGAGGTACTTAACATTTTGCCACCGTGGCGCCCCTAACATGCACTATCATAGCTCCTAACTTACACAGTTTCAGTCTTTCAGTTGTATTTATTTGGTATAGCCCTGTGAGCCATTCGGCTCTTGAATCGGGTGCAACCGCAACAAACAAAAAACAAAAACACGAACAAGAAAAACATCTTAAAGTGACTTTGCACAAACAGAAAAATCCAGGAAAAAAACCCAGCAAAATCTTCCAGAAAAAAGCACCGTACACCAACGCTGTGTGCAAAAATCCCAGTGGGATGCAAGTCAAACAACAACAACAACCACAAGACAACTTAGATTAAAGCCATCAGTTTAACTCCGTACTACAATAAACAAACATGGCCAAACCCAAAAACGTTTTCGAAATCACCAAAATAAAGCAAGGTGAACACAAGGTGAACCTCAGTATGTGCTTGACGCTAGCTCAGGCGGTTATCCCAGGTCACGGTTACGCCCAAGGTTATGTGGTCAGTTGCATAAAACGCAAATTGCTATACCTTAGACCCTGCCACAGGAGATGTTCACTCACGGCGTTGAATGCAATTGGCCACTGGCCAGCACAAGGATTACTCCAGCCATTTCTCGGTCAAGCCCAGGGGTTATTAACCGAAATAACAAGAGCCATTTTATACGAATTCGGTAATTACAAAAAACAACCCTCAACATTACGTGTGAATATGAGGCGGCCCTTGATAAATAACGTCACGCAGCAGTCCTTAAAGAGCCGCAGGTTGGATGACCCCTGGTCGAGCCCTAACCCTCACCCTAAAAGGCATTGACCCTCACAATCGTTCATGCGGCCAACCTAGATTGTTATGAATGGGTCCGGATCGAACCCATCACCTCTGCATACCAGGTGAACCAGGTGAGTGAGTTAACATCTCGCCACCCTGACCCCAGCCCAACACGTGGGCTCACCTGGTTTCACGTGATTTGACCTTGACCCTGACCCTAACTGGGGTCACTCCGCGTGCCCTCGTGCCAGGCTCAAGTCCTGTGACTTTTCTCCTCCCACCCTCAACCGCCCCATCTCAGCCTAGGGGGCTCACGCAGCTCCCCCCCGCCCCCCGCCGCCAGCAGTCCACTACAGCAGGAAAAACAAGTGCCCAATACCAATACCCCGCCATTCGCCACTTAAAAGTGTCGCTCCACTGTCACCACGGCGCCTGTGCCAGGCCAGGTGCACTTTGAGGCCACGCGAAGTGTCGAAGGCTCGCTGCTGACGGGGGGAGATCTCGGGACAGACCCAGCAGGTGCCACGGGTTGGCTGAGATGAGCGGTAGATGCACCACCAGCTGTACCCCCCCCCATACTGCGCCCACAAGTGCCCACCACCCATCAACCTGCACCGACCCCCACGCACAAGCCAACAACATTGTTGTCATGGCAATGTCTCCAGCTGAAAAAGGCGACGCACGTGATCTGATCGCGCCAATAAAATTCGCGCTTTTTTTTCCTCCCTAGCACGCACCACCAGCCAATCACCACGCGAAGCTGTCCCCCCCCACCGTCCTCCGCCCGTTGCGACGCAATGGGCGAGTCGCCCATCTTGGTCAGGGGAAAGCCGCCAGGACATGTCGGTGACGTCATCACAAGATAACGTTCCGTGTGCTCTGTGAGTTTCTCTGCCCCCCCACCGCCCCGCTGAGACGCAATGGGTGAGTCGTCCATCTTGGTCAGGGGAAAGCCGCCCGAGTTCCCCCCCCGCCCCCGAGAATAAATGTTCGTGACGTCATCATACGTCCTTTGCTCTGAGCTTCTCTGCACCCCACCTCCCGCTGTGACGCAGTTGGCGGAGTCGTCCATCTTGGTAAGGGGAAATGTTGGTGACGTCATAACACGACGTCGCTTGAGCTCTGTGAGCCCCCGCACCACCACCCCACCCCTTACGTAAGATGGCCGCCGATTTCGAGGCGTTGAGCACAGAAGCCCCTCGCGATTCCAAACACGGCGTCGATCAATCTCCGAATCGGTTCAGGAATCGATGTTGTTTGTTTTGTTGTGGTAGTTTCTGTCCTAATGTGTCTACTATCTATTAATTTGGCCCGCCTGTACTCTAATGTGTTCTACCTGTAGTATCAATAACACTATATATTATTGGTTCTTTCGGTAAAGTCACGTATGAGGGGATTAATTAAATAATATTATTTCCCTTCTACGTGGTGACTTTATCGAAAGAACCAAGACTATGAATCCCTGCAGTCACTAAAGCTTTAAATCGAAATCAATAATACTATCAGTCTAACAGTCTTATTGGTTCTTTCGGTAAAGTCACGTAGAAGGGAAACAAAATAATAAAAATAAAACAATAAAATTCTCACGACGTTTCGGCCACAACACAAGTAGCCTTCCTCAGGTGAATAAACAGAACTGTCGGGGAGACAGCGTCTTAATGAACGCCGCTAAGCTTAGCAGCGTCTTTTAATCTGGGTGGGAGGAGCAGAGCGCCTTGACAAAGGAGTTTACATATCAACAGAAGAATTTAGCATTGAAGTAGCTGTGTTAATGTGAGAGATTAGCAGGGTGTTAAAGTCAGACATTAGCATGTAACTGGGAGATTAGCATGATGTTAATGTGAGGGATTAGCGTGTAACTGGTCAGCATTGAAGTAGCTATGTTAAAGTCAGAGTTTACATATCAACAGAGACATTTAGTATGTTGATGCTAAAGAACTGCAACTACCCAACTATCATACAATAAGCCGATGTGAAAGAACTAAGTATAAACTACATCAACATAATAAATGTACTCAATATACTCTCCAATAAGCTGAGCTATTAACGTAAAGTAACTGGGTTTACACTAAACTATATAATGAATACCATATAAACTTTGATTGAAAGCTTTCGTGACTGCAGGGATTCATATTCTTGGTTATTTCGGTAAAGTCACCACGTAGAAGGGAAACAATAAAATATAAAACAATAAAATTCAGTCGAAACGTCGTGATAATTTTATTGTTTTATATTTTTATAATTTTCATAAAGTAATAAAAAAACAAATCCACGTGACAATTTCTTGGTTCCTTCGGTAAAGTCACCGAAAGACCCAAGAACATGAATTCCTGCAGTCACTAAAACTTTAAGTCACGTAGGTGAAAATAAAATGACAAAAAATCACGACGTTTCGGCCACAACACAAGCGGCCTTCATCAGGTGAAGGGACGAGACTGTCTGGAGGACAGTCTCTCACTCAAGCGCTGTCCTCCAGTCTCGTTCCTTCACCTGATGAAGGCCGCTTGTGTTGTGGCCGAAACGTCGTGATTTTTGGTTATTTTATTTTCACCTACGTGACTTTACCCAATAGAACCAAAGAGTATGGATCCTAGCAGTCACGAAAGCATTAAATCTAGAATTTAAGTTAAGATTTAACCACGTGGCATTGGACATTGAATCGTACTTGCAAAGTACTTGCATTGTTACCGCGAACGCATAGGCAGGAATCGATGCGGTTTCAAATCTATTACAGATGCGACGAGGAATCGACAAATCGATTCCTAACTGTCAGGACCCGGCGTGTGGTGGTCTCGACGAACCCCCTTCCTCTCCTCCACCGTCACTCTCCGTGGCTCTCTCCCCGGCTCTCTCTCCCCCACCGTCACTCTCCGTGGCTCTCCCCTCTTCCCCCCGCCATGAGCGTCCCGGTCCGGCGTAGGGGCCCGACCACCGAGGGGGACGAAGGGGACGAGGCGGTGCGATCCACGTGCGACGACGCCACTGCGTGCAAGAGGTCCCGCCGCGCGCCCTCCTTCACCCTCCGCAGCTTTCCCCGTTGCTCGCCGGCCACACCTCGTGAACTCCGTCGATGTTCGTATTTCGGCAAGCGAAGTGCGGCCCCGTGGATCAAATTGGACCCACGACTTCACCTCGCGCTGCCCCCCGGCTAGTTTATTTCACACGGCCCAAGGTCCCCAGTGAGGGCTGGTCTGTCGCTTCGAAGCGGCCAGCAAACGATTTGTGGCTGCGTCCCCCTCACCGCATGCATCTTAAGCCGCGCTCATTGAGTACGAGAGAGAGAGGGGGGTGGGGGATTTGTTGTTATTATTTCGAGCCGGCAGCAGCACTGTGTTTATAAATATAACGCTGTTCGCGGTGAAGCTTGTCCACTTGCGGCGACACAAATGGTGGCCGAGTTGTGAATGTTGCTGCATGCAAATATATAGGATTGCAATTCCCATTCGGCGGTTGTACCGATTGTCATGCCTTTCCATCCCCCCACCCACCCACCGCTCGTCTCACGCCACCTGATTCGCAACATTTAACTCAACTCAAACCCTGAGAGAGCAGGGAGCGATTTGGCTGCATTTGTATCGCACCGACAGCACGTTACTAACTATGGTTGTTGCAGTGGTTAACTCCGCGTCTA